TGAAGTCGTGCCCGATGAGTGGCATTGCAGACTTGAAGGTTTGCTCTAAGCCCTCGTTAGGTTCCCAGCAGAAGCTCTTGCAGGCTGGATGCAAAAAAGCTTCTCATGACTCAAGACTGACGCACAAGAAGACACAATGCGCGCCGCGCACAATAACCACTACCCCAGCGTGGTCGAGAAGTCAGCAGCATGAAGGCCTTCCTTTCGACACTCATGAGTACACGTTCGCATCTCGTCACAGGCATCAAGAAGGTGCTGACTCCATCAATGTGACAGATCCAGCGGACCAGAAGCCTTATCTTGGAACATACCGATACCGCATGCTGTTGTGGCATGTTGTCGCTGCGTTGGGCGAGCACGGCAGCGGAGCACGGCAGCGCACGCCGCACACAAACTCGAGCGTGTGTACGCTGGGTCAATGTCCATACAATCCGGCCTTTTGAAACTGGACTTGCAAAAGCGGGCATGTAACGCAATATCTCGCATCTGACAACACAGGGTGTTTGCTGTGCATGTGTCCGTCCACAAGCAATCACTAGTTTCAATACTGTACGTGTCTTTTGCGTCATGTGAGTGTAGCTCACGGTAGCAGCGGTGATATGCTTTTGTTGCTTGGGCGCTCTGAAGCTTGAGGAATGGATTCACATCCTCCCGTTTCCGGGAGCGAGTTGAGCATGGCAGAGATGACTTTGATGAACAAGTGTTGTGCAGATGAGCTGGCACTGCAACTTCGAGAGCTGTCACCGAAATTGCCAAGGGGCCGGTGGCATATAATTAGGGATCCTTGTGCTGCGTAGAAGATAACCGTCAAGGCACCCCCTCTTCAAAGCCACGGCTCTGCGGCTGGCTGCGAGTGGCTGGTAGTACGGCGTGAAGCGGAGGCTGTGACGAGCGCGCAAGGGGACATCGTCACAGTTTCAGATCTGAGCGAGCACTGCCGCCCTGCTTTCACAGTTTGTCGATGTTCGCCTCCGTCTGCTTCCCGAAGATACGGTGCCAGCCCCGGTTGTAAGGGCAAGCCCAAACCACCAAAACCAAAAGCCAGCGTTGAGCTCACAAAGCGCTGGGGCAGTGCTTGCTGTCCAGCGAAGTGGCGAAGTACCGTCGTCCGCATACTGTACCTCGCCAAGCCTCTTTCCTATGACCCATGTCAAACTTCCCACCGTCAGATACATCATACATCTATCTATTTATTTATCTATCTGTACTACCCTGCAGGTCCTGGCCCTCCGTCAGGTGCCCATATACTGGCTAGAGGCTAGAGGTTCCGCCGTCATGTGCCATCTATCGCCGTCAGATACCACTGTGTCTGGTCGTCCGAGGCCGTGCCGGAACAGAGGTCCGAGGAACTTCCACCAGAGCTGACTCAGAAGGATGAGGTGCTGATGAGGAGAGTGACGAGGGGGCACATGTGAGTGACGGCGTTGCTAGCATCTTGTCACGAATGGCTATCGCCGGCAAGCTTTGCAGTGGATCTTGAGAAGGCTAGGAGCAAACTTTGTCTGGATACAGCCCTTGGCTCGAGTTTGAACATATGGCGTGATTGTCATGGTGGCTATGCCGAACTAGACGCATGCTAGGTTTCCATCTCTTAGTAGAGGAGTGGGCAGGCGGAGCGGCAGTACAGCTAATGTTTCGAAAGCAACAACCTCACCCCGTGACTCATTCCGCCCCACCCCACCCCGACCCTGAGCGTGCAGCTTTGCCTTTGGCTGTGTGGGTACAACATCATCATCATCATCATCATGTTTGTATTTCGCTGGCAGGGACCTGCCTTTCAAGTATGGCCGAGCTGGCATAGCCACCGTAGTTTGGGCTTTCGCCCAAGACACTGCTTGCCCTTCGCCTTGCCGGGGCCTCGAGCTCGATAGCTCTCCATCCCGCAAAGATCGAGTTAGAATGTAACCGTAGCAGTAGCAGCTCGCTCAGCATGCAAGGCGCCGCGGATGCCAGCAAACTCTCTGTCGTTAGATGTGCCGGCAGACCTCATCAAGGACACCCGTGCGTGATGTGCTAGCTCAGTACAGCAGTGAAAAGGGGCTCCAGCACAGATCAGCATGATGAGTACACGAAGCCGCGCCAAGGACCCCAGGTCGTGGACGGTGGAGGACATTAGCGTTTGGCTGCACTGGCTGGGCATAGGCTGAGCTCTCCAATGCCTGTCTTGCACCATTATTTGGAGACGTTTCGAGGCATTTTACAATACCTAGATTCAGGTCAGGAAGCTCACGTCAAGTGAGTTTAGAAGACTTCCTCGGTGCCTTTTGCTTGCGATGGGTGCGATTGTGCAAAACCGGTCCAAGATGTGGAGAAAGTAAAAAGATCTCTGCAGTCTGCCAGTGGCATCCGTATTCGAGTGCGGAGGCGAGCACGTGGAGGCCTTTGCCTCTCGCAACGTGGATGGACGCCTCCTGCTACAGCTCGGGGCGGACTCTGCTTGGGTGACTTGTCGCCTGTGTGTAGGACATTGTAAGAGTCGAGGTTGGTGCAGACGATGACGGTCATGATGCTGCACCGTGTTGTGTTGACCTGGCAGGCCGAGTTAGGTGTCACCGACCCTGCGCAGCAGCGCGTCCTGGACTCTGCTGTGGAGCCACTCAGGTGGGAAATCCGACAAAGCGCAAGACGACATGTCTTGTTTTGGTTGTCATTCCTCTTCCGCATGACATCGTAAGCAGCCGTCACTCGCACACATATATATATATATATATATGCATGCACACATATAGACGTACACGCGTACATACCGACCCACCCACCAACCGACCGACCGACCTACGTGCCTACGGGGATACCTATAGAGAGCAGAATAGCTTTAAACAAACTTATGCATACCCTATAGAATACCTTCTGCAATACCTGGTGGAATAAGCTATAGAATACCCTTTAGACTACCTTATAAAGTGCTTTATACAATTCCCTGGTATACCCGACATACACAATGTAGAATGTCACCTGGAATGCCTTATAGGATACCTTATAGAAGACCGCCTATATACGATACCTCCGGTATGCTTTATGTCTGTTATATAGAATACATATAGAAATACACTATAGGATGCCCTATAGAATCTCCTATAGAATACTGTATAAACTACTCTATAGATAGGGGTTTTGAATATGCAAAACCAGTCGGAGCCCAAGATCTGAGAAGTCGGCAGTTGAGCTTTTGGGTAAGTCAACTGCCTTACAGAATACACCTTCATATACCTTGAAGAATTTCATATAGAATACCCTATGGAATACCTTCTGAAAAACACTGTAGTAGAACACCTTACAGAAAGCCGCCTACGTAATATACCCGCTGTATACCTTAAATATACCTCATAAATTATTCTCTAGAATCCTTCTAGGATACCCTGTCGAATACCTTATAGAATATCCTATAGCTTACCCTATAAATGACGATTTAAATCAGGAAAATCAGGAGGTATACAGAGGACAGTAGACAATACTTCGTGGTATTATCTGGGTTCGAACGGTGTTGTGTCGTCGTAGGCAGGAATACTAGGCGATACGGAGTATGTTTATCTTGGTTTGAACGGTTTGTGTTGTCGTAGACAGGGCATACCAGGCAATACTTAGTATCCTTGTCTTGGTTTGAACGGTTGTGGGATACAAGACTTTTGTTCCGAGCGGAGTAGCGCAGTCTAGAAAATACAAGAGGTGGCTTCGAGGTAGGTTTCGGAGGGGGGGAGTAGCCTATATATACATACTTATCATTATATACACATAGGTTGATATGCATCACTGTATGGTAGCCGAATGTAACCGGGGCGTCGCATCTGGGTTATGAAGCCAAAAGGAAACAGAAACACACGCGCTCACACACACACACACACACGCACACGAGATAGTGAATTTCCAAGTTCTTGCCGCCGACGCGAGTTTATCGTGCCGAGAACACGGACGGTCCACGGACTGTGGCCGAATCAAAACACCGTCTGGGTGTGTAATTTACTTCTATATAGATATAGATATGCATACATGTGGTACGCACCGCCCATGTAGACCCTTACATAGACATAAACACACACGAATCCGTTTTGGGGTGATGCGTAGCTGTTTCCAACTCTCGCTGAGTGTTAACCCACACCTCCAGAAGCAGCGTATCTGTCTACGCTTCTATTGAACAAGTGTAATTAATAAAATTATCTACTTATCTCTCTTGCTAGTCTTTACTTGCAGGTTTTCCCCATCCCCTGTGTGTGACTGCAGGTGTTTCCATCAAGGAAGCGGTCTTGAATCCGGCCTTGCACTGCACGCGATTGAGGGCCCTGTGGCCGGCCGTGTTTTTTTGGTGGGCAGCGGCGGGGCCCTTCGATTGCATGCCAGCCCGTGCAATCCCCCTGCCCTGCCTGTGTGAAGTGTTCAGACTTGGCATGTTGATCTCGACAAAAACACGGAGGAGGGAATCTTTCCTGTTGCTGTTTGCGGCATCTGCTGTGCACGTCTGCAAAGGTCACTGGTGGCCGCCACTGCGCTTCCAACGGAATCGTGCTCTCAGAGAACTATGTGTGCCTGGGCTGCGCTTGTGTCAGCTTGATAGCGACAGGTTTCCGCTCGAGTGCAGGTCAAGACGGCATTTCTTGATTCTCCGAGACCGCAGCGGGCAGTACCTTCTGCAAGATGTCGGAAGTACAACTGGCACCTTTCTTATGGTCCGGGAAGAATTGCCGTTGGACCATCAGATGATTATCCAGCAGCTCGCACAGGAAATCAGCTTGTGCTAAGCAGGGCTCATTGGCATGTTTTGGGGTCCAGAGATGAGTCTTCAGCAATTTGTGCATGAAATCAGCTTTCGGGCAGGGCTCCCTGACTAATCTATTCAGTTTTCTCCGCTCGTCACGGTGTTCATGCCACGAACGAGATGACAAATTCTTTTCTTCACTGTATCTGCGCTGCCTCACCTCGAAGCTGTTTCAGTCAGGCTCGGCACCACAGAGCTGACCGTGTACATTGAAGGGGATTGCTGCACGCTGCTCGCAACAGAGGGTCCTGACAAGGACGACCAACTGCATGCGTACGGCCTGACAACCTGTCGACCCGCTGTGAACATCCGCCTGGCAGGACATCAGCGCGATGGTGCCTCCGCAAGGCCTCGCTATTGGCAGAGAGGCACTCTGCTATGCCGCCATTGAGGGATGTTAATGCGCATGGACCCGGCACCGCTAGTACATGCGCATGTATGTAGGTGCGCCTATGTGTCTCTTCGTCTGCATGCGAGTGTGTGTCTCTGCCTGTCTTAGTACGTGCAGTTATATACGTTTGTATAGACACACACACACACACTTGCACATGAGCATGCGCGTACACGCGGAAACATACATACGTGCATATATAGGGAAGCAAGCAAGAGCGAGAGAGAGAGAGAGAGAGAGAGAGGGTTGGGGGGTAACTCCCCTCGGCTCTAACCCCTAGCAAAGCAAAGCAAAGAGAGAGAGAGAGAGAGAGACAGAGTCTCTCCCGGCACCCGTGGGGGAGTAGCAACTCTGAGCCAGACAGGGGGATGCTCGATCTGCTAGTCTTCGTGCCTATTTTCATATGTTGGTGCTTGTCTGCTGTGGCTGCAACTGCAGACCGAGCACCCGTGTCTTTTACCGACACCCCCACCAGGCCCCAACAACAGGGGCACGCCAATCGGCGTGGGGAGCCTGAACAGCTCCCTGGACCCCGGAGAAGACGAAGAAGAGAGGAGAGACCTAGAGACAGTTCGTGCCGGTAAAGTTTGCGGGTAGCCACCAAGCCAAGGGGGAACAACAGCACGGAGAATGTTAGTCTTGCAACTCATCTTCTGCGGTTATTTCTGCATCGGGAGAAAACCCTATGCTGAGGGGATCTGAGCCTCCTTCTTTCTACTGCCAAGCCGTCCGGAGGAGGAATCCATTAGCCAGGGCTTGACCTGCACTCGTCCTCAAGCCTTGCAGAGAGAGAGGGGGAGACGGCGAGAGCGGGGACTTCCACTTAAGGCCAGGGCGAAGAAGAGAGAACCGCACAAAAAAACACAAGACAGCAGAGACGGCTTGGCAGTATCATGCAGTATCCATCTTTCGGACCACCTACTAGGCATGGCTGCGTCAGGACATAGCTCGGGGTTGTGGTTTCTTCCAGCATGTCGTGGCACTGCGAGGCGGGAAACGGACTTTGCATCAGAGATCCTCAGATCTCTGCATTCCACTGCAAGGTGCGATGCAGTGCAGCAACTAGAGCGTTAGCTGATGCCTGAACCGTTGTATGCAGTGCATCAAGTATTCGTGCCTTAAGGTTCGCCCCGTCCCCGACCATGGCTTCATCTTGGATGATGAGTACTCTACGAATCGCACGTGGCTGCGCTTGGCCGCAGATGGATGCTTGCTCCGCAAAGTACAGGAAATAGCAAACCACAGAACAGTGACCATCTGCTGGAATGATGATGCTTGATAATTAAAGCTTCGTCACTCCGGCAACTTTAGTTTTTCTGCACTTACGTCTGCTCGGAATCGTATCCTCGCTTGCAGCAGACAAGGTCAGCCATCCAGGCGGTATTTGCTTCGAATTGGCGACCTCTTCAAAGTGGGATCTACGCTCTTCCACGTGCTTGGGCGAATCTAGTACATGCGCTTGTTTGATTCCGTGGGCCCACTTGTCCCCGCAACGGTGTACCATCAGACCAGCTATACAGACTTGAGTTTCATGTGTTCGAAGCTGAGGTCGTCGAGCCACCGCCCATGGAAGTCGCTTGAAGCATATGCAGGTAGTTTTACAGTCAGCCTGAAGTGATCTGCGCACTTGATTTGCCGGGTGTGTGAAGAAGCGCTTCGGCGATCTGTTCTCATATATTCATATGCGACGTCTGTGCCAGAGTACTGGAGCAGAGGACGTTCCGGGCGAGGCTTTGCCTTCAGCTTTGGACAGATTGGATCACACCCGCTTTCCCACCTCGCCCAGCTCTGCTGAAGAGCCGGAGCTGAGAGCCTTGTTTCGCAAACTTAGATGTGTGTGTGAGGAGGATGTGACGTGCAATTGCTGCCCACTGCACATGGCCAGCCTCAGGTGATGATGCTGAAGTTGCCGTGCCAGCAGCAATGCCTACGGTGCTTCAGCTGAGTCTGTGAAGTTACGCTATCCGATCCTACTGCGAGCTGGTTGCGTGAGCATATTTTCGCGGCAAAATGTCCGGTGCTTCCATGGCAGGAGTCTCAGCTTAGATGGGAGCCCATGCTGGAGGGTGACGCGAGGCAGGGTTCTGTACTTTTTCAGCAGATGGCCAGGTAGCCAGGATGCTTCGCCTGTGCATGACAGGCAGTCGCTCTCGCCAGAAGAATATGCACGGCGTTTGACATCTTCGCGACGACGGGTGGCAGAAGGCATGGCAGAAACTAGGTGTTGTTCGTAGTGAGACAGCCTGATCGAAGCTGCTCGTAATTGAGGTTCTGCCAGAAGATCGGCAGGGACCGCCAACGATCTACAGGGAAGCCAGGCTCGTAAACGCATACGATTGCATACGCGTGTTGAAGACCACAGGTCATTGCTGTCTTGTGTTGCAGAGAAGCCGTGGACCAGGACGCCCGAGTCTTCGACATGCAGGAGAGAGAGCTCTCTTCTTTACAGCAGCGCATGCGAAACTCGCGCGCGCAGACTGCTTACACGCTGCAGCAGCAGCGGCAAGGCTGCTGGACAGCATTAGAAAGGCGAAGAGGCCAGGGCGGCTAATGGTGGCTAATGCAGGCTAGCTCCAGAACACGAGATGTCCGCCTCCATCTCTTCCGACTCTTCCGTACTGAGTATTGTGCCAAGGAGAAGAAGGGAAGAGGGATGAGCAGCGAGACGAAGACCTTTGCAAAATCTGCTACGATGCAGCCTTGCAGCCGCAATTGAAATTCCCCTTGACGAATAATTTCAACCCTTGGGTTGCGAATTAAAGCAAAGAAGATACATCTCAGCACTGCCGCGGGACATCTTGCCTCGGAAGTTTGCGCGAAACTGGTTGAGGTCATCGATGTGGTGCTCTATCCATGTGGCCACTATATGCTGTGCAGATGGTGCGCGCAGATGGTTTCAGACTGCCCCGTTTGCAGATATGTCATCACAGATGTCATTCGCACTTACAAGGCCGCATGTTCGTGTCTGTGTGGAGCGTTGCTGTAGTAAGCCTGGCTTGTGTGAGTATTTCCGCACACTTGCCTTGGCAGGCCTGATGCGGTTCATCCAACACGCGGAATTGCTGTGCAGCAAGCATCGCCATGCAGCCAATGCGCACTATGCATGAGATATTGCGAAGTGCAGCCATGCATGCAAAAGAGCCGTGACAAGAAGTTCCATGAAATTGAGTTAGGGACTTCGTGACTTGGGTCATGCTGACATCAACGCAATCCGGCCACAAACCCGCCATGAACAACCACTGAAACAATGCCGGTGTGTGTGTGTGTGTGCGCGTGCGCACGCTTCTTGGTCTAGGCCCTCTAGGCCCTCTAGGCCGGGGCCCGTCTAGGCCTGCCTTCCCGTAGTGAAGGCTACGAAGGAGGCAGGTAGGGGTCCGGGTAGACAGCAAACGAGCTTAGAGCTTAGACATGGGCCGGCTCAAGACCTGAGACCTAAAGCTTGCGAAAGAAGATTGCCCAAACAGCTCGTCTGTGTTCTAGTTTCTTTCACCTCCATTTTGGCTC